GCTGAAATAATAAATACGTTCTCCAAACCGTGAGCCAAGCGGAGAGGCAAGCTATCGAGAGGCGGTCAAAATTTTATGACAGGAAGTTGCGTCAATTTCCCCTTGCACTTCCGGTGTCCGGGCAATGGGAACGGTTTTCAATTATTCCGTTATGCTAGCCCCCGTTTACAGAGTTCAACTGAAACGGATTAATTTAAACCACTGAAATATACATGGTTATCATAGGTATAACTAGCTTCTGCAAGCGGCTATGTCCGAGTTACCGTGGTATCCTTACTATATAATATTATAAATTGGAAAGTGAGTTTGTTTGTTTGTTTGTTCCGCTTTCACGCCGTAACTACTAAACCGATTGCTTTCAATTTTTGCAGACGTAAAGTTAGAAGTCTGGATTAAATATTAGGGTACTTTTTATCCCGGAAAAAATTGATATTCCCGAGGGAAAACAAAAGTATTGATATAGATGGCGCTGTGTGTATTGGTATATGTCACATAGGCTACTTTTTATCCTATTGTGACGCGAGCGAAGCCGCGGGTAAAAGCTAGTAAAAAAATAACCTAACATAACATCACGCCTTATATCCCGTTAATTTTATTAATGTGTCCAGTTACTCTAATTGGTTTTTGTTTTCAACCGTTGTGACTGTAAATCAATAAATAAAAACAAATAAAATAAAAATAAATGAAATAATAATAATAATATACATATATATCAATAGTAACATTCTCATATTACCTTTATTTGTCATTCAAAGTCAAAGTCAAAATCATTTATTTCAATTAGGCCAGAATGGCACTTTTGAACGTAAACAAAAAAATAATAAGAAGTGAAGCTATTTGCTCATTCCAAGGTGTAGATTCCTATGGAGAAGAACGAGCAAGAAACTCCATAGGTTACTCTTTTTCAATCAGGTTCACAATACAATTTACTAGTTACATAGTTTTGCTGTTTGGATTGTGCGAGAACAATGTAACACTAAAATCCAGCCAAAGTGATCAAAAAAGAAAGTAACCACTAAAATATACCTACCAGACTCCTAGATTTGCTTATAAAAAACGTGTTTTTTCTCATCAAAACATCTCCGGGAGCTTGCAGGTGTTTACAAGGGGTGTCAAGCCAAACGAAGGTATAACAAATGTTATTTTTTTTCCCTGTTCAGGCCATTTATCAGTGTGCCAGTATAAATGCTGACGGTTCTTACGTAGGGCTGCTAAACGCTGATGTTTCGTCGAATAAAGACTTTTATTTT